CCCGGCCAAACAGGGAGGTCGACCGGGGCAGCGCGGACAGTCTGGCGGCGGTGGTAGCAGTGGCTGGAAGCCGGCCAAGGAAGTCAACAAGAAGAAGTCGACCAACGACAGCAGTCGAGGAGGAGGAGGTCGACGTCGGGAGTGCTGGCTGTGCGGCGACCCCGACCACCTCTCCTTCGAGTGCCCCGACCGCAGTGACTCCGACGACGACGACGCCAAGGGAGGTCGCGGCAGGTCTGGGAGCCGTCGTCCTCGTCGAGGAGGGAACCAGCAGCGCAAGGAGAAGCAGTCGACCAAGACATCGTTCTTGGCGAAGGACGCCGACTCCTCTGCTGGCGGCAAGGGGCAGGACGACAAGACGGCGTCGTGCTCGCTGGTCGGCGTCGTAGAGTCGACCGTCTCGCTGGCGCCGAAGGCCAGGGAGGACTTCCAGGCGGTGGCGGCAGCTGTGCAGGCAAACCCGGCGGTGGTCCTGCTCGACAGCGGCTGCTCCCACCACCTGATGGGGACGAAGGAAGTTTTTGTCGACTTGCAGCCGAGCGGCTCCATTAAGCACGTGCGCGGCTTCAATGGGGCGTTGCAGGACGTCCAGGGCCGCGGCACTGTCGCCCTGCAAGGGGAGGCCGGGAAGCAGGTGCTCATCCCCGACGTGCTGTACATCCCGGGTGTGCGAGCAAACCTGCTGTCGTCCGGCCAGCTGAAGGAGCATGGCGTGAAGCTGCAGGAGGACGGCGACGGGATGCTGCTCGTCTCGGCAGCGGGAGTGGTGCTCGGTCGGGCGACGTACTCCGGGCGTGTCCTCTGCACCGACCTGCGTCCCTGCTCAACGAGACCGACGTCGCCCACGACGGAGGTCGTGGCTCCTCGAGCGATTGTCTCGGCGACGAAGTCGACGCCGGACAGGCTGCATACAAGGCTTGCACACGTCGGCATGGACACTATCAGGAGCTCGGCGAAGAACGAGGTCGCCATTGGGCTGGACCTCAAGTCGGCGACGGGCGCCGACTCACTGTGTGTCTTGTGCGTTGGCGGGAAGCTGGCGCGGCACACCTTCCCCGACCAAGGCTCCGACGCCGACGACGTGCTGGCCGTCGTGCACATCGACCTGTGCGGGCCATTCCGCGTGGCTGCCAAGGACGGCAGCCTGTACTTCTTGCTGCTGAAGGACCACAAGAGCCGCTTCGAGTGGGTGAGGCCGGTCGCCAATAAATCGGATGTGCTGCTGGAGTTCTAGAAGTGGCTAGTGTTGGTGGAGAGGCAGACGAAGAAGTCGGTGCTAATGCTTCGCTCTGACAGAGGAGGGGAGTTCTTCATGAAGAAGTTCACCGACTTCGTGAACGGCACGGGGATCGTCCACGACCTTACCTGCCCGTACACCCCGCAGCAGAACGGTATGGCGGAGCGGGAGATGAGGATGGTGGTGGAGTCGGTGCGGACGATGCTGCTGCACATAGGCGTGCATCACCACTGGTGGCACCTCGCTCTGCGGCAGGCCGTCTGGGTCCGCAACTGCCTTGAGCGGTCGACACTGTCGCCGGGGACGACGTCCTACCAGCTCCTCATCGGGACGAAGCCCGACTTGTCGCTGGCGCGAGTGTGGGGCTGCATGGCACAGTTCCTGGTCCCCGAGCAGCAGCGTGGTGGAAAGCTGAAGCCGAAGGCCAGGTGGGGCCTTCACCTCGGCGTGTCGGCGGAGATCAAGGGCTGGGAGCTCCTCGACATCGACGCCAACCGGGTGGTCACCACGTCGGACGTGGTCTTCTACGACGATATGTCGCTGGAGGTGTGGAAGTCGCAGCGCGGGCCGGTGTCAGGACGGATGACGACCACCCCGCCGACCGACACCTCGACGGCGACGCTGCCTCTGCTCGCCGAGGTCGGTGAGCTTGCTGTTGAGGACGCCGAGGTCGTCCGTCCTCCTTCCCCTCCCCCTACGACCCCTGCCCCTCCCCTCGTGGCCGACCTGCGCGGGCTGACTCCTGTTTCGGCCTCCGGCGATGAGGGGAGTAGTAGGACGTCGCCTTCGGCGCCGGCCAAGGGCATCGCCAGTGGCCGACGTGACGAGCGGCAAGTCGACGATGGGGAAGAGCAGATCGAGGAGGAGCAGCCGGCTTGGGTGAAGCCAGCGAAGAAGGCACCAGCAAGGCAGCAGCCGACAGGGGAGCAGGGAGCAGTGACGCCGACCACTGAGCAGTCGGCAACCAGGCAGTCGGCAGAGGAGCCGACCACAGGGGAGTGGTCGGCCAGGAAGTCGACTGAGGTGTAGCTTGACGACGAGGGCAGCGAAGCCGGTGACGAAGGAGGGGACGCCGAGGAGTCCACCAAGAGCGACGTGGTGGAGGTGCAGCTGGAACCCCGGAAGTCAGGCCGACTTCGGAGGCCTCCCGACTTCTTCGTCCCCGCTGCCTTCACCACGGTGTACGACGTGGACGACGATGACCTGGCGTACGACGACGCCGAGGAGGACGAGGAGTTTCCAAAGCTCGACCCCGACATGCATGCCGACCCCGAGCACCGTTGGGACATCTCGACGATGACGGTGAAGGAGGCGTTGGCAAGCTGGAAGGGGCCGGCGGTGAAGGCCGCCATGGAGGAGGAGATCCGCAGCCTCATCAACATGGGCACTTGGGAGCTGGTCGAACGCCCACCAGGAGTGAACATCATGAAGAACCGGTGGGTGTTGACGACGAAGTACCACGTCGACGACACCGTCGAACGCGAGAAGGCGAGGCTGGTCGTGAAGGGCTTCACCCAGGTGTATGGCGCCGACTACGACGAGACGTTCGCGCCGGTGGGCAGCTACGTCACGCTGAGGATCTTCCTCAGCATCGTTGCCGTCCTCAACCTCAACCTGATGCAGCTCGACATGAAGAACGCCTTCCTGCAGAGCAAGCTCGACCGGGTGCTCTAAATGTCCCAGCCGGACTACTTCAACGACGGAATTGGCCAGGTGTGCAAGCTGCTGAAGAGCCTGTACGGTCTGAAGCAGTCACCGCTGCTGTGGTACTTGGCGCTCAAAGACGTGCTGGTCGGCGCCGGGTGGAAGAAGAGCCAGGTCGACGAGGCTCTGTACTTCAAAGTCGGCGACGATAGAGTGGCCTGCTGGGTGCTGGTCTACGTCGACGACCTGCTCGCCGCCAGCAGCAGCACCGAGATGCTGAAGGAGCTGAAGGGGCTCCTGGAGTCCGCCTTCGAGCTGCGTGAGATCTCGCCGGTGCAGAAGTACCTCGGGTTGGAGATCGTCCGCGACAGGTCGGCGAGGAAGCTGTGGCTGCACCAGCAGGGCTACGCCGACAAGCTGCATAGGCGCTTCATCGACGAGGAGCAGACCGGGCGCACTCCGAAGACCCCGGTCTCGGTCGACGCCTACGCCGAGCTCACCTTCGACGACGAGGAGGCACAGGAGCGACAGGAGGAGGAGTACCGGCAGAAGGTCGGCTCGCTGCAGTTCGCGGCGACGACGACGAGGCCGGACATCGCCTTCGCCTGCAGCAAGCTGGGGAGCGGCCTCACGGTGAGGAGCAACCAGCACTGGCGCGAGGTCGACCGCTGCCTCGCCTACCTCGCCAACACGCGTGACACCGCCCTGGAGTTCGGCGGTGGACCTGAGTCACTGGAGTTGGTCGGCTGCGTGGACGCCGACGACGCCGGTGACAAGCAGAACATGACGAGCACGGGCAGCTACGTGTTCGTCTACGGAGGGGCCGCAGTCTCCTGGTCGAGCCACAGCATCAAGTGCGCGACGTTGTCGTCGATCGAGTCAGAGTACGTGGCGGCCACTGAAGCCGGCAAGGAGGGATGCCGACTTCGCTTCCTCCTTGCAGAGTTCCGGCAGCTGGATGCCGGGAAGCCGACCGTCCTCCGGGTGGACAACAAGTCGGCCATCACGGTCGCCTAGAGCATGGAGTTGACGGGCAACCTCAAGCACATGGAGCGGCGACAGGCCTGGCTGCAGCACATGGTGAGGCGCGGGAAGTTCTCGCTGAGGTACATCCCGACCACCGAGCAGCCGGCCGACTTCCTGACGAAGGCGCTGCACTATCCGGCCTTCAACCGGTGCTCTGTCGCCATCGGCCAGGTGCGCTTGGCCGACGTGGGCGACGAAGATGACGACGTGCAGCAGTAGGTGCCATGCCCTCTTGCATGGCTGGTGCGGTGGACGACGTGCTGTGTGTTGGGTGCACGTCGACGAGCTATTATCTGAGGAGTACTGCCGTGTGGGCTGGGGGCCCAAGCGTGAACGCGGCAGGGGAGTGTCAACGGGAGTTGTGTGTTGGCCCCGTCCTCGCTTGGGCGGAGCCGACTTCGTGGTCGGGTGTGAGGGGAGCAGCCGACCTGCAGCAGTGGGCGAGCTGGTTGACGAGGAGGTCGACCTGCACGGGGGCCACTGCACTGGCGCCGACTTCAGGGAGGAAGACCTGGTAAGTCGACCTGCGGAGGGCGTCAACTTGGTGACGCCGACTACGGTTAGCCGACTTGGGCGGTCGGCTGACCACTGCACTGGCCGACGTGGAGCTGGTCAACCAGGAGTGACGTCGACCAGGGGCGTGGTCGACCTGGTGAGGTCGACTTGGGGTGGTCGTCGACTTGGGAGGTCGATGGGCACAGGGGCGCTTATAATATTGAGGACCGGCCATAAGCGCCATGCTCCAGATAGAAGCGCTGGCGCTTATATCCGGGGTGATACATTATAAGCCATTGGGTTGGAATGCTGACAACGAAACGCATTCACCAACTCAGCGTGCATGTATGTGTGCGTGTGAAGCGTGTGAGAGTTTTGCTCCTCTTTTTGCAGGTCTTGCTTTCGACCGATAACCCCAGTATGTGTAAGCCACTGCATTTGGATAGCTTCGTGTGTGCATGTGTGACATGTGAGTGCGAATGTGCAAGTGTGAGTGCGGCGCACTGGGATGCTGGCAGCGAAACATATCCACCAACCGAGTGTGCACGCATGAGTGTGAGTGTGTGTATGGGTGTGCGTGCATAAGAGTTGCGCACCTCTATTTGCAGGTCTTGCTTTCGACAAATACCCCAGTAGGCATAAGCCACGGCACTGGGACGCTGCTGCCGGAACGTATCCACCAACCCCAAGACATGAGACAATTTTTTAGGCGCCTCAAAAAACGTATCCACCAACCATGCTGCTTCCCCTCGGCCCTCCCCCCCAACACCCTCGCCCTTCCCCACCCCTCCCCCCCCATTTTCCGCTCCACCTCCACTCTCCCCGGCACTCTCCCCCTTCCCCCCTGCACCCCCTTTCCCCTCATCTCCCCCCTCTCCCCCTTCCCAGGGCACACCCAACAGGTTAGCTGCAAACGATGGCCGCTCCTCATCCGTAAACCCTGAGCTCCGCCGGTTGCTCTCGGGGTGGAAAATGTCAATCTCCTCGAGCGCACAGTTGAGATCGCATGTCACAACCACCGCCTTCTGCTTCTCCAGTTCCTGCAGAGAGAGAGAGGAAACACTCCCAACACTCCCTCCCTGCAGTCACGTTTTCAGCACAAGCCCTACCGTCACCGTTGTTTAGTGTAATGCCATGATTTATTCACCACATCACTCCCTACGATCAGATCTTTAGCACAAGGTAAAGAGGGGACAAGCCCAAGTGGGCATAAGCCCTACTGCCACCGGTATTTGTTTGGAGTAATGCCATGTCATATTCACAACAGTCAGATCTTTAGCACAAGCCCAAGCGACTTTTGAAGCGCCTCAAATGTCCCTACGATCAGATCTTTAGCACAAGCCCAAGCGACTTTTGAGGCGCCTCAAAAGTCCCTCCAAGCAGATCTTTAGCACAAGCCCAAGTGGGCAATAGTCGCTCCTAGGCACATCTGGCATGGTGTCATGCACTCTTGGTGCTTACGCAATTTGCGCAATACGAAGTTATGAATTTGGTTCACATCAAGTCGTGTCGTGCCTGCTAAGTTTACACGCTAATTGTAGCAACACTCCCTAAGGGCAATGGTCGCTCCCGGGCACATCGGGCATGGTGTATGGGTCATGCACTCTGGACGCTAGTGCCTGAGACTTTCCCTCTGGTGTATATAATGCTTGCCGTATTCGCTACAGCAACACACCAACATCGCGAGCATGAGCCCCAGAGGGTAATGGTTGCTCCCAGGCACATCTGGCATGGAGTATAAATCGTGCACTCTAGATGCTGATATGCTCTACTTGATGCCAATTCGTCAGTACGGCATGAGTACGTATGTCCCCCCTACAATAGAAACCTACCCATTTCCTGTCACATCTTCAGCACGAGTCCTAGGGGGTAATGGTTGCTGCTAGGCACATCCGGCATGGTGTATGAATTGTGCACTCTAGGAGCCAGTGATAGAGAAACAAGGAAGTAACCCAGGCACCATCCTGATGAGAATGTGTGCTTGTGAGTGTGTTAGCATGTCTCGCTTCCGGCCGGTACCCCCTGTCGGTGTCCGCCACGGCATTGGGATGCTGCCAGCGAAACGTATCAACCACCAACAGCTGGCTGAGAGTCGCCTCAGGAACGCGGGTGTGCGGGGGTAGAAGTGCCTCCGCCAAGAACGGAAGAGGCTCATCGGCAGCGTGGGGAGCAGGGCCAGCAGCGACGAAAGGAGGGTACTGCGCCCTCACCGCTCCTGCTCCCGCTGCCACAAACTCCATGTCCGCCACCGGCGGGACCCAGGGGACCTGAAGGCAAGAACCAAGAGCAGGAGCCGAGGCCTCGGGAGCAGGAGGAGGAGGAGCAACTGCCGGCGGTGCATTCACAGGAGGTGCAGCCGGAGGAGGAGCCACAGGCGCTGGAGCGGCCTGCAGCGAGCTGCTCTGGCTCGCCTGCTCGGCCCTCTCTTCACGTATTGCAGCTGAAACAACCCGCTGCACATCCGCAAGTGTCAGTGGCTGAACATACGCCCCGCCACCACCACGACCGCGACCTCCATTCCAGCCACCGCGACCGTCACGGTGGGCAGGCCAGTTCGCCTGTGAATGGTGAGGCCGAGGAGAATCACGCCGGCGCCGCGACGACTCCCGCTCATCACACGGCAGGGGGGAGTGTGGACGAGGGGAACGGTGATCTGGAGATGGGGGACGCCGCTGCCGATCAGGAGAACGTACCGCAGGAGGAGCTGACGGAGACGCCGCCGACGCAGACGAGGCGGCAGCCCCAGCGACAACCGCCGAGACCAGGACGCCAGTGGTGGTGGACACCGCCAGCTGCGGCAGCCCGCCAGACAGGTTCATCAAGGCAGGGCCCGCGGCGGCAAGCTGCGCAATGGGGACACATACGACAGTCGCCGCCACAACAGCGACAGGAGCGGCTGGAGGCTCCGGAGGCGCGGCAGGAGCAGCGGGAACAGAGGCTGGAGGAGCGGGAGCCGGAGGCGCTACAACGACGGACGGCTGGGGCTCAGCAGCCGGGGATGCCGGGAGAACGGGGGCTTCTTCAGCCACTTGCACAGGCTTCTGGGCAGACGGCACAGGTGGCTTCGTTGCTGCAGTCGTCGACCCCGATCGAGCCGGCGATTTTCCGCTCGTCACTGACACAGAGGCAACGCGCCTTGATGACGGCTCAGGCAGGCCAGCGATCACCATCACAAAACGGGAGGGGCCGAGGCCGGGGGAGACAGGCGGTGAGCGGTAGAGGCGGGGGTCCCGAGAACGGATACCAGGCGGCAGGACGTCGGGCTTTGACAACACTAGAAGAAAATACTACCCTTAGCGGAAATTCGGATCCTACTTATAGAGTTGAGTCCGAGCACGGCGACAGTGGTGACGAGGGAAGGGAGACTGATGGAAGCGGAGGAGTTCGAGATGGAAGAAATGTCCACCGGACCCAGAACGGAGAGGCTGAGCAGGGGAGAGAGCAGGACGAGACGTCCGATGCAAATCGGACTGCTACAATTCCAACAATTTCACGCATCCCCACATCGGACCGCGCTCGTGGTAACCGAGTCGCAGATCGTCCACCGACCGCCTCGACTCCCGCGCCCAACCTGCGCTACTTCTTGCCAGAGGAGCTGGCGAGGCGAACTGACAAATTCGCAGAGGTTGCGAACTGGGATATTGCGCAACTACACGACCGCAGACAGCCGCCCCTCACTCGCCGACTACCGCCAAATCTCTGCCAGATATATTCGCAGGCACTCCTGATACCACTCATACACCTCTCACGACACCCAGACTCCGTAGCAAGTTGGCGACTGTTAATGTTTCTCCCGCGCCTCACCCTTCGCCAAGTCTCGCCAAAAAGACCTAACTGGGCAAAAGTCAAAGCACGGCTCCACTCCTTCCCGCGTGGCGAATGGGAGTAGCTGTACCATGATGCCATCAAGGCGCCACCGCCACGTCACCAGCTAGACGACACTAGCGTCATCAGCATGGCAGAGGGACTGGCGAAGCGAGGAACTCTTCGCCGTGCTGTGCTGGCCCTCGAATCAACGCCAGCGTGCACCCCCAGTCCAGAAATTATGGATGAACTCCATTGCAAACACCCACCCGCGAATAACAAGCCCCTAACGTGGCCAGCTTACACCCCTTCGCCGGGCTTCGCCATCGCTCGCGGGGATTTCATCAAGCTGCTGAGTCGGTGTGAAAATGGGGTGGGAGCGGGCCCGACAGGATGACATTTGAGCACCTGCGTGGCGCGCCAGTAACCAACGCGTCGGTCTGCACCCATCTGTAAGCCCTGGTCAACACCCTGCTTGGGGGGAAATTGCCCCAGCCGGTAGCAGACCTGTTCACTGCATCTCGCCTCATAGCTCTGGCAAAACCGGAAGGAGGGTGTTGCCCAATAGCAATCGGGGAGTGCTTGACCCGATTGGCTGCGAAAGCTGCACCCTCACTTGTGGGTGAATCGGCGCGGGAGTATTTCTTACCACTACAGTACGGAGTAGCAGTGACGGGAGGGGCCGAGGAAATTATCCACACCGCGAGAGCGTACACAGACTCCCGCCCAGACTGCCTTGTTCTACAGAGACTGACATTTCGAATGCTTTCAACAACATATCGCGTCAGGCGATTGTGACAGCACTGCAAGACCCCACGCTTTCGCCACTACCGCCACTAATACAACTAACCTATGGGAGGCCGTCGCAGCTGCACCTCGACAAAGGCTTCGCCAGCGCCCCGCTAAGTAGTGAGCGAGGAGTACACCAAGGGGATCCCTTGGGACCACTGTTATTCGTAGCTGGAATTCACTCTGCACTCTGTGCGACGGGTGCTGCGTACCCAGGCGGCCTGGCATACGCAGATGACGTCACCTTCCTTGGTGATGGCGACACCATAGTAGCTGCATTTTTGCCTTTCACTGAGCAACTAGAACATCTAGGCCTCCACCACATTCCTACCAAATGCCGAACCCTACCGCGAGGAGTTCCTTTCCGCACTGACGGCGTACGGCTTCTCGAAAGCTTCCTAGGAACCACCACGGGCGCTGCTGCATTTCTCACAGAGCAACTACGAGGCATGGCGAAACCTCTCCCGCTGCTAGAACGGGAGAGGTTTCGCCATGCCTCGTAGTTGCTAGCACCTAGAATATCTAGGCCTCCGCCACATTCCTACCAAATGCGCTGCATGGAGTCACGATACCGGCAATACATCACAAAAAAACCCGGTTCAGCCTTTGGAGGTTTCGAGGTCACTCACGGTGGCATTGAAGAAGTTTTGGCTCTATTGGATTTCCAACCGATTTCTGACTGAAATCCGTTGGTTTCCGTACGGAAATCCGTTAGCCTGGGTGTGCTTTACCGAAAAGTTCAGTTGCACCCGAGTCGCGTCAAGAATAAGTCGGGACCCCTGATTTCCGACTGATTTCCGGCTGGAGTACAGCAGTGGTGGGCAGTGAGGCAAGGAATAGTGCAAACGTGATTTATTTGAAATGCATACACTCGATTGGTCAGTCCATATTTGAATATTGTTCTTTTCAATAACATGTCATGTCTAGCAACTAGACAAATATGTAGGAATATCATTTTGATGTATCTTTCATGAATATTTTTATACCAAACAATTAATAACATCAAATCACCGTCGACGACAATATTAAATGACGCTACACAAAATCATGATTTTTTGAGCCGTACGAAACCAAATATGTGCACAACAAAAACCACTTATCATATTTGCCTATCCTTGTAGTTATTTATCCAGCCCATGATAGGGAAACAATTGTGCAATGATAGGCCTAGGCGTTATGTGGTATCGTTTCACCATCCTGTTGTTATTATTCTTGTTTTTTTTTGTTTTTGTTTTTTGCAAAGTTTCTTCGTGTAACTTAAACATTTGATATCTTGCAAGCAAGCTGGGTTAAGTGACGCGATATGAATTTAATAAGAATGATATTCCTGATTGTAACTTAAGAAAACAGTATTAAGGATGAAGCCGAGGGGTCAGGTGAGACGAAGCGACACCAACAAGTGTTAGATGACCATCTGTTTGTTAGCTAAAACAATATTTCTCTTGAT